AAATTTGTTCCCTTAAAGTTCTGGATTCCCTCACTACGGCAATGTGGAATGAAACTGTTTTTGAGGAGGAATTCAATTTAGAACTTGAATGCTAAGATAAAAATAATTGTATATTACTGTAGTTCCACAACACTTTTCTCCCCCAACTCATTTGTCACCTCATTTCTTTAGCATAAGATGTTTAAAAATATCACAAACCGACCTACCTCATTCAAAATTTCCATCATAGGATGAAGAGATGATTAACGAACTTGCTGTTCCTCGTATCTCTTTCCTTCCTCTCCTTCCCTCCTTCCTTCTTTCCCTTTTTTTTGTTCTAAACCCTCTCAGGTTATCCTTTTTATACCCAATCACTCTGGCAGCTGACTTGGATGTAGGACATATCAAGTCTCTAAAAGACAGCAGTCCTGATTTCTCTAACAGGTGCTTATTCAGAATAGCTGTTTTCAATTTATTCTTCCATAGACCCCTTAGAGTGGGACAATTCTATGAGATTTGACAAAAGAAAAAAATCCATTTATGTCAGTAATTTTATCAGCCTTTTTAGGGTGGTGTTGCAAGCATGAAGCATCAGAGATGTTTTCTGAAAAAACTGCAATGTTTTACAGGTTTGGGTGAACTTAATGGCCCCAGGGAGGTTCATAATGGATGATTAGTAAATGTATTTCAGTCTTGTTTTTCTCCCTCACCTAAAACTCCTCTAGGCATGGAATTCTAAAGTCTTTCATTCAGCGAACCCCAAAGAGCTTTAAGGGTCACATTCAATTTCAGAGTTATTAAAGTAATATAGTAAATCCCCTTTTTAAAATTCTTGGTGCAGTTCACATTTTTGTAGGAAAACCTACAGCACAAAAGTTTGATACTTTATGTAACTGTTAAAACCTGTGTTCATGTGTTTCAGTCTCAGAGAGCGTTGCCTTTAGGAAGCACAATTCCGCAGCCAAAGTAATTAAAAATAATTTCAGTTTTTACTTAGATGCTTCATAAACTGGAAGAGACTCTAAATATCAAGCCCACGACTGCAATTATTAAATACACTTATTCTTCTGTCCATTTTTGTGCCCAAGGCCACTGGTTCAAAATCCAGAGCTACTCTTGCTTTTTTCCCTTTAAGGGATTTGGTCTTATGCAATAGTAGATTGGGGTTGCTGGTAGTCTGTGCAAGTCTCCTGTTTTAGTGCCTGGTGCTGTGTGCCCCGAAGTCAGCGGGCTCAGCAGTTGAGAAGGGAGGTTGCACACAAATGGAGAGAGAACGGAAACCCACGAGGATGAGCTGGAGCCTGAATTTCTTTCTCATTGCCTTCAACTTGATGGCCCAGGTGGCCTGCTGGAGAAGGTGACGAGTTCCTCAAGGAGCTAACCGTGTACCTGGTTCAGGAGTGAGAGAAACTGAAGGAGGTTCCAGAGGGAATTCTAGGAGCTCCAGGTTCTGCTGTCCTGCAAAGCTGGTGAACCAGCAGAGCAGTGATGAGCTGTGTAGACGTATTGAGCCCTGCTGTCCCTGAAGTGACTTTCTGAACATGAACTGTGGCTACGGCTAAACTCCCATGCAAAATGTCTTGTGTGGTCCATAATGAGCCAGAACAATGTAGGAAAGAGAATTCTGGAAAACGTAGTCCTAGTGTAGATGCTTTTCCTCCTCTCTCTCTCTCTGTGTGTATGTATATTTCTGGGACTCTACAATGCATATAGTTTGGCCCAGTGGATGACGTCCCACAGGTACCTTAGGCTCTTTTTACTTTTCCTCATTTTTGTTTCTTTCTGTGTCTCAGATTCGGTAAGTTCAATTGTCCTCCTTAAATTACCTGATTTCCAGGTGCCTGGGTGGCTCAGATGGTTAAGCATCTGCCTTCAGCTCAGGTCAGGATCCCGGGGTCATGATATCGAGTCCCACGTTGGACTCCCTGCTCGGCGGGGAGCCTGCTTCTCCCTCTGCCTGCCACTCCCCCTGCTTGTACTCTCTCGCTAATAAAAAATAAAAAATCTTTAAAAGAAATGATAAATTACCTGATTCTTCTGCTTGTTCGTATCTGCTGCTAAACTCTTCGTGAATTTTTCACATTGGTAATTGTACATTTTTTTTAAAGAGTTTATTTGAGAGAGAGAGAATGAGAGAGAGCACAAGACGGAAGCGGGTCAGAGGGAGAAGCAGACTCCCTGCTGAGCAGGGAGCCCGATGTGGGACTCGATCCCGGGACTGCAGGATCATGACCTGAGCCGAAGGCAGTCGCCCAACCAACTGAGCCACCCAGGCACCCGGTAATTGTACATTTTAGATCCAATGTTTCTGCAAATGTTTCCAAGGCTGCAAATGTTTCATTTCCCTCTTAATCACAAGCATTACTATATGATTTGTAATAGGTATATGCCTCAAGTGAACATTTTGAGTACAGACTACCATGGTTCATAATTTGTGGAAAAAATGGAAGTTTTTACTTGAAATTATTCAGATAACTGAGGGGAAATATGTTTGGTTCTCAAATATCAACTGATATTCTTATTTTCTACCTCCCCCCCTTTTAAAATTTATTTTAATGCACACTGCATTTATTTTGATGCTAGACGGCTAGATAAATGGAATGCAATGATTCTGGTCAGGTGGTCTTTCTTTTTTTCTTCCCTCTTTCCCTGATCTCCTTTCCTCCCTCCCTGCTGTCCATCCTTCCCCAAATCACTGCTTCTTCAAGGAGTTAATGTCATTTACCATTCCAAAGGAAAGCTCCCAAATATAGTGGCACAGTTAAGCTCTTTGCTAGACTAGATTGAGTTTAGTACAGTAAATCAATTACAAAAAGGACTTTATTGGTTTTAAAGACACAAATGTCTAGACTTAGGTGGAAAACCAGTATCCATATAGCCTACATCAATACAGCATGTGCAGCCCATAGGCACTGATCCTAGACATCTCAAATAGGCTGATATGCAAAGGATTCTTTTTCTTTTTCTGTTTTTAAAGAATTTTTATTTATTTGTCAGAGACAGAGAGAGAGAGAGAGAGAGTAAGTGAATACAAGCCGGGGGAGTGGCAGGCAGAGGCAGAGGGAGAATCAGGCTCCCTGCTCAGCAAGGAGCCCATTGCAGGACTCGATCACAGGACCCTGGGACCATGACCCGAGCTGAAGGCAGACACTTAACCAACTGAGTTACCCAGGTGTCCCTGCAAAGGATTCTTTAATACTGTCTTCTTTACCATATAAAGGAAATACCTAGACAGTGCAGTTGAGCCCAAGGAATTAATAACCAGCTGAATGTAGAGCCAGGGTTTAGAGACAGTTTGTTTCGATTGTGAGTCTATTCTCTTAGTCACAAAATTACATTGGAGAAAAGTAGAAGACAAGTACTTAACAAGTAGAAGAATGTAACATGATAAAAGAGCATTTTCAGGAGGCCATTTCCAATAGTTCCAATTCCAAGAGAACATTTTTGCTTTTGCAAGTAAGAGGCAGGGAATCTACTCTTGGGTTACTATTTGTGAAGTGAGACTTCAGGAGTTGAAAGAAATGCATAAGCCCATTTTTTTGCTTATCACCATTAAAGAAAGAAGAGTAGAGCCATTCTAGACTAGTACTACTTTCTAATCACATGCCCCTCTGGGTTAGGGGCTTAGGAAACTTCAAAAGTATATTCTTCTCTAACCTAGATTTATATTCGATTGGGCTCCAGTAGTAATCACTGGTCTTTCTGCCTGTATACCTAGACAGCTGGGGACAGGCACTGGGTTCCAGGTGACCTTCCACACTCTAAGATATACCCTGGTGATGGGCTGACCATTGGTAAGGTACTGTTTTGGCATGCTTAGGGTCACTGACCCTTGAGGGCTACAGCTATCTCTCTCTCTGTCTCTTTCTTTGTCTCTTTCTGGTTGTAATTGTTGATGGACTTCATGAAAGACTCCAAAGAAGGGTAGTTGAAACTAGCTTCTGTGCTCAAGATATTTGCATGATGTTATTTAAAGTGGAGCAATTTACATTTAAAAATGTATTTACATTTTAAACAGTGTCCTAGAATGATGATAGTCAATTTAAAATGCACATCAAACTGAGCTCCATGTTGAAAGGACATTTTTGATCCACCAATTATCAAGATGCATATAGTGATGGGGGGCCTGTGCCTTTTCTCAGATGCACTGCTTTTTCTAACTTAAGGTTCAGGAAAAAGAAACAGACAAAAACTGTCAATACATGACCATGTAAAATAACCATGTTGTTTTTCTTAATCATCACATTATTACTGACCATGTGAAACCTAAGTTTTTCATCACCCCAGAATATATCATGAACATTGCTACCTAACAGCCAAGTTATTGCACATTCAGAGATTTTGATGGCCAGGATAAAATGTTTCCTCAAAAAATGTGTATGGTTAGAGATTTCGCAAACTTGGCACAAAAAACCCCAACTCTTCCCAATCCTCTCATTATTAAGAAAGTAATTAAATTAAAATCAATTAGATTACAAAGACAAAAATGACAAAAACTGTCATCCTGTGAAGAGATCAATTGAAGTCCATGATTGGAAGGTGTTTCCATTATCATTGGTATTTGTAATCTAGAAGCCTTAAACTTTGGAATATTCCATTCGATGTATGTCATATTAGAAGTCCCATTTAGAAACCCAAAGAAGTTGAAATGGTTCAAATATAGATATATAGCAAGCATGAAGGTGTTCAATATGTTTATCCAGTGATTTTAAAATATTCCTTTTTTTTATTTTTTTAAAAAGATTTCATTTATTTATTTGACAGAGAGAGAGAGAGCGAGAGGGCACACAAGCAGGGAGAGTGGGAGAGGGAGAAGCAGGCTTCCCGCTGAGCAGGGAGCCCAATGTAGGGCTCCATCCCAGGACCCCGGGATCATGACCTGAGCCGAAGGCAGACGCCTAATGACTGAGCCACCCAGGTGCCCTAAAATATTCCTTTTCTTTAGACAAGATTCCTAATCTCTTAAATATTCACTGAACTGATTTCAATGGAGCAAAATAATAAAATCATTTTGCAACAATGATTTCATAAAGGTGAAAGAAAATATGATATATTATGAAGTACAAGTGACTCCAGCATCTTCAGCATGTGAACAGCCTCTCACACCCCATTGTCTAATTTTACAGTCTTCGATAGATGATTCTCTCCCAAAACAAAATACTTCATTCAGCCAAATTGGACCAGTACCTGCAAAAATCAGATACGAATGCGTTAGTAAGTCTGACTTCAGGGTTTATATTTGAGTGGGATAAAACCATTAATTTAATTTAACAACAAAGTATCGATCCTTATATACAGGTTCTGTGCTTTCTGTTAGGATTCAAAAATTAATCTCCTGCCCCAGAAAACCTTATATTCTGTCAATGTGTAAACTACTAAAGTACAAAGTGATAAGAGCTATAACAAAGGTACATACTCAGCTCAGTGCAATCATAGATAAAAGACTGATCGGTTTTAACAGACTGGTTTTGTTTTTAGAAATAAGGAAGGAAATAAGCTTTACTGATCATAAATATATGCCGTGACCTGATGGTCTGAAGGCATCTGCACCAGGCATTCTCTGCAACGTTACAATATACTGGAGTTCTTTCCTTAGCTTCCGGGGTTTTGCCATTTACATGTGCCTGGTTTACTAGATATGTTATCTATTTTTAATTAAACTAAGACTAATACAATCAGCAAAAGACTTACAAACTATCCTGAAAGAAGACCATGGATTATTAATTGCAAGCAGAAGCAGACAACAACAAAATGGCAGAGCTAATACTCTCTTATCTTGAACTCTTCCTCAGACGCATTAGAAGGGAAAATGGCTGTCAGCAGTAGGCTACCTGGGAGATGTTTAGCCAATTAAATACACAAACTTAACTGCCACTCTCAAGATAAGGACATTATTTTATCAATGAATACTAAAACAAGTGCTTTCTGAGAGGCATCCATGCCTGCCAAAAAGAGTTCATTTTAAAAATAATGTTTGGAGGGGTGCCTGGGTGGCACAGTTGTTAAGTGTCTGCCTTCGGCTCAGGTCATGATCCCGGGGTCCTGGGATCAAGCCCTGCTTCTCCCTCTCCCAGTCCCCCTGCTTGTGTTCTCTCTCTCGCTGTCTCTCTCTCTGTCAAATAAATAAATAAAATCTTTAAAAAAAATAATATTTGGAAATATTTTTCTGGTATTCTCTAAAGATTTTCTGCACGTATCATATATAAAAGTTCCCCTTTATTTTACACTTAAGACAGTTAGAAATGGAACCTTTGAAAAACTTCTAAATGAAAGATTGCATTGGGTTTTGTTTAATATATATCATGCAAACCTCCTGATGAGTTTTCAAGAACATTTCATGCCATCAAGAAACAGATGATTTAGCAGCTAAACTTCAAGAAACCCCTTAGCAAGACTGGTGGATGGTAAATAAATATCTTAATCCTGTCAGCATAATAATACATTTCTTCAATTTGGATCAATATGATGTTGAAAGGTTCTCTTTTGGTCACAGAGCTATAGAAAACCTATTCAGAAATAACTTCAGCTCACAAACAGACTCTGTGTAGCTATGAAACAGTGTTAGATGAAGACTTTTTTTTCCAAAGAGGCATCTATAATGGCATATATATATAATGACATTACTCTTGCTGATTTTTCAAATATTCTATGAGTTCAATAAGCAAGAGTTTATGTACATGGCTGACAATGTGCATAATTATATAGTAGTATGTGCATATATGGAAAAATTACAAATACTGGGAATTTTATAACCACTATGTGGATAACATTTGGCCTAACCTTAAAAAATGGACAGAAACCTCTGTATAAAAAACCTCCATGTATAAAAAAGAAGTTATTCCATATAGTGGGGGCAGCATGAAAAGGCTTGATGTGTTATAACCGTCAATGGTATCCTGGCATCTAAAACGCAAAGTACATTAATGAGTGGAGAAGGACTCATTGGGAAGGCTGGATATAAAGTCAGGGCCATGCTTTACAATATTCAGAATTTTATATTATGTCACCAAAAGAAATGATGTCATCAGAGCTATATTTTAGAAAATATAGGTCTGACAGAAATGTGGAAGTTGGATTAAAGAAAAAAATCTGTAAACCAGAAGGACAGTTAATAGGATGTCTATGGAGAGATTTTCTTTTAAGACTCATGTTTTGATTTACTCTTAGATAGGAAATTTGTATTTCCACCTCTAAAATAGTGTATTCACTTAATCTTTAATGATTTGTTCCTTTACTAGAAATATCCAAACATGGGACAAAATTATATTTAGGTTTATGTGACCAAGGTAGTTAGGAACTTTGTATTGTTCATTTCATATAATAGTAATTAAATCATTTGTGTCCAATGTTTCTATTAGAAAAGAAAGGTTTTCCCAGGCTGATCAATTATAAAAGTAGTAACCTGGACAGCTCAAGTATTTTTTTTTTTTTTTGAAATGTTTGTAACAGTATTGAGCCCTTTTTGGCTTGAAATTTTAAGGCAAATAAAAAGGAAAAGATTAGGGGAATATAAGCTCAAAATCAGAAACCTTACAGGAATGCTGTTTTTGTTCCCAAGTTGCTTTTACTTGGTATAACCTAGTCTCTTTTGTGTCTTTGTGTTTGTATGAGTGAGTGTATTTGTGCATGTCTGTTTCTTTTTTAAATAAAGTTTATATAAACTTTTTGGGAGCTCCACAAGGTGACTCAAAAATATAGGCAAATAATCAATTGCACAAATGGTGAAGCTCCTCCCACGTGAATGTAGTAGAGAGCCCAAACAGTGTAGACAAACAAACATAAATAAAACTTTTGGTCAAAGCGGGACTTGGTCATAATGGGAGCACAAGAACAGTCTGGCTGTCTGGCCTCTGTACCAGGGCACTGTGATGCGTTCACTCCTCATTTTGTAGATCAAGTCACTGGATTTAGACCTCAGCAGTGCAGAAGTTTTACAACCCGGGAAAAGGGAATTAAGAATGAGAATCTTCTCAGTAGCCGGAGCACCAGCAGGGGCATCCCCACAGGGGCAGAAGAAGCTAGATATTTCGTCAATTAACGTGCTGACATGTGAACACAAATTTTTAGAAACAGCAGTAAAGAAATTCATGAATGTGAGAATACCAAAGCTGTAGTAATAATAATGAGCATTTAAGCCCACTCTGAAGAATTTATGACACGGCTGAAAACATTCAAAGTACTTTTGATCTGGTACCTCAATGAATCCTCAAATGACCCTCAAAAGTTAAGTGCTTTCAAAGTGCCATTTTACCCTTGAGGAAAGGGAAAATCGGGGAGAGTAAGTAACTTGGCCCAAGGCCATGTAGCTAATACAGGATGGAACCAGCATCCCCACCCCGTGTCTGCTTAGAGCCAGGGCTTTTCATCAATGATTCATGCAATCCCCTGCGTTCTCAGATTCAGTCATTCAACAAATCTGTTTTTGAGTGCCTACATAAGTGATCAAAATCAAAATCCATTCATTCTTGAACTGACTTCCTGGTGAAGACTTCTGTTTTGGGTAGAGGCAGCAACTGAGGTCACGTAGGTCATTAGCAGCAGAGTTGCTACTTGCATCTAGAACCTCCAGCTCCTATTGCAGTGCCTTTCCACCAAGAACACACGGATAGGATCAATACGCTGTGCAATTCACTAAGTCTGGTCTTTAGTGGTGTGGAGAAGATTCACAGGGAACACCCTAGGCCTTTCACATATGGTCTTTAAAATTTACATCTTCTAATAACCCTGGGAAATAATGGCAATTATCTCCATGTAACAGGTAAATAAACTGAGACTCAGAAAAAAATGTATGCTTTTCTCAAAATAACAGAGAATACAACCAAGGAACAGAACATGATGACATTTAAAACTTGGTGCTATTCACTGACAACACAGAAGCCCAAGTAGAATTATAAAAATAATTTTCCAAGATTTATTTTTATTTTTACATTAATACCTTCAGAACTATTGAGCCTAAGGGACAAATTTATTTAATATGCATTTTCCATCTCATTCCAAATTGTTTTCTGTGTTAAAAATTAATTCAAAGGTGGCGTAGAATTCATAAAATTTTACCTTCATGTAAACCCCAAAGATTAAAAACAAATTTGTTTTTATTTCTTTACATAATAACTATTACTCAAGGATGTTTGGCATTGCTGCTTTCCTTCTTATTTGCCTCTGAACTATCTTTCCAGCTCATGGGAAACTATGCAAAATTGAGGTGTACAGTTTAGATGTTTTTTAATTTTCTAATCCTATTTATTTATCATCCATCTATCTACCTACTTAACCATGTATGCATCTACAATTCTCTTTACAATTTGGGGGTTGGGGGGAGGGCAAATTGATGATTTTGTGTTTCCAAAAGCACACAGCTATCAATGTGTTGTCCATGACTCCTGGAATTTCATGAGCTTGGTTTGTGATGCCTGAGAATATGATTGACCAATGATACCATTTCCTCTTAATCTATTTAAAAAAAATAACAGATACTGATATCTATTTCAAGGATTTGAGATTTTTTAATCTGATCTTCAATAACTCACTACTTTTCTGAAAAAAAAAAGTGATCATATTTATGAGCCAGAAAGATGGTACAGTGATGAGATTTGAGATTAGCTGCTGAATAGATATGTGAAGAAGCAAAAACCACTGTTGGTTAAAAGTCTGAATGAATTTTAATTAAATCTAGTCATGACTGGGTGATTTGAATCTGTATTTGAAGATTTCTAATTGGGAAGTGCTTTGTCAACAGCTTCCTCTTTGAGAGGAAAAAAAAAATCTGTTTTTTGTGAGTTTTTTAAAATCAAAGGTAGAATAGGAATCAGAATTGAGGATGGGTAAACTTAGACTATAGTTCTAAATTCTAGTGTAGCAGTTTGGAGAAGACACTTATTTTCCCTGCTTTAGCATATAGGCAGAAGGAGGAGGTGGGTCTAAGGTTTCATTTACCTTTAAAATTCTATAATTCTAAGATTTTAAAGAAGCAAGCCCTTTACAAATGAAATTCTTAAGGATAAAGAACTTAGAAGGACATTCTGTTGAGTGGAGACCTAGGTTAAGGAGGGAATCTTGACCCCTCCCCTACAACCACCATAACAGTTCTATAAGTTTGGGCAGGTTTTGTGACAGCTCTGTCAAGTTTACTTCCAGAAATTTCTCTATGCAAATTGGGGCTCTCATGTCTTTTCTCACAGGCACTGTGA